TCTGTTTAATGAACTGAAGAAGAGAAGCAGCTTAAAAAAATGCAAAATACTAAGTATCAGACAACTCAGACCTACTCAACAAACAGTATCAAACTTTTACTGCACAAGTTGTGAAGTTGTTGTAAGTGTTGCTAAATGACTCACTGACTCACCTGAGCAGGACTCTTCAATGTGTTTTGGGTTATTCACTGGGTGGAAACATGATGCACTGCGAGGGATTCCATTTCCAAAAAGGAATACTGCTTCACATATTTTTCCCCCTCAAACTGATGTTGGAATACATAAAGAGGGTAAAATAGGGGTCTCAAAATACAAAAGTGACAGTGATGGAAAGAGTTGGAAGGAGAAAGATTGCAATAAACACCTGGAAACATTAGGTGTGTCCTTTAAGACTGTGTCTGCTACAGGGTAATACTTAAGAAAGTGCATGTAATTGTACGTCGGACTGATCTGTATTCAGTTCTCATGTGTTCTTTAAAATAGTTTAAACATCAGTAGTCATTTGAAGAATTGTCTAACCTTATGAAACAACTTCTAGATAAAAAAAAAAAAAGTCTGAAGAGTTGAGGTCATTGCCCAGTGGCGACGGCCCTCCCCCAGGATAAACAGAAACAGCTGTTTCACAGCTGTGATTCCCTATATGTGTGTGGTTAAGAGAGGACACATGATGCTGCAGTACTATCGAGTCATTATGAGGAGGGACTTTACTGTCTGATTGTTCATTCCTTGTGGTTTCTAGTGCTCACATGGCATCATAGTCATAGATGGTGAAAGATCAGCTTAGTAAAAAAGGATGAATTTGTCTGTTCAGGATGACTCCAAATTAGACCAGCATGCCATTCAGAAATACCTGAGAAAAATGAATTAAGAGTGCTTTTTAAAATTCTGATTCAATGGCAGAATTTTAACTGCGGTAGCAAACAGAATGCAGAACTGAAAATTACATTTTACATATAAGAAAATAGACTTCATAGTTCAAACAAACGTTGAATGTTGGCTTGACAAAGCCTTGTTTGAAAACTCTGAAAGATTTGAAGATTTGTCTATATGCCTTATGGATAGCTCGATAGATCCTCTTCCTGTCATTCCAAACGAGTGCAACAGTGCCTGTTCACTATTTTAGCTGTATTTTTCCCATAGGGATTTTAAAAAGTTTTTTTTTTTAAAAGAGTTATAAACCATGAACCAAACCAACCAGCTACGTGATGAATCGCAGCATTACAAACTTTTATCTGAAGCAAAAAGTATTGAAAATCATCCACAAAAAACAACAATGGCACAAAACGGAGTACTTGACAGCTTTAATAAGAGAAAAATGGAGAAATATTTATGCTTCTGGCAGACGTTTTTATCCAAAGCAACTTGCATTGAATTCAAATCAATTCTTGCTTCCCCTGGGAATTTTAATCCTTGGCATTGCTAGCACCACGTTCTAACGTTTGAACTACAGGAAGATGTTGGTTATGAAGAAACAGTTTTTCAATTTATTTACAAAATGTACATATATACACAAATATTTAAGTAGTTTGAAATCATAGGCAGACTGACTCTATTATGTAGGCAATATTAGCACGTTGCGATTCTCTGATTGGTTGAGATTTCTTTGCAGAATCATGGGTAATGTAGTTTTTCACCAGTACTTCCACCGTTGAACATGATTATTTAAAAAAATAAGTAGAAATAATGCTGATGGCTTCAACAAAACCATATAAAAACTTAGATTAACAACCTCATCTGCCTTTAATAATTTACAAGTTATTGTTAAAAAAATCTACATTTTCTGACATTCTGACCTGACTTTTGCACTTTACATAAACAACTTGTGAGTTGTGGCCACTTCACTTCACTTGAACTGGCACAGAGCCAACGCTTCCTGCTCGATATCTTTACATCCTTATGTTCTTAACATTTGGATTCAGTAAAACATGTAGATTTCTAAAGCAATAAAATAGAAAACTTTCCCAGCACATGGAATCTGACAAACTGTGATAAAAACCGAACTTGTCCGCTACGTTCTTGTGCTATCTACATTTCTACATCACCACCAGTATGATGATGTGCAAAAGAATTCTATACGTTTTCACCCTTTGCTTCAAAGGTTCAAGTAACATAATCTGTACTTTACACTCTGTCACCTGAAGCTTTACCAGTGCCACGTACACAACATGCCACTGGATTAAAGATAAGCACACCATTGTGATTCAACAAAGATTGTTAATGGCATAAATAGACACCATATCTGACCTATTTATATCCTCCGTTTATCAGTGAAGAAAATGTCTTAAGACTTCAAAATTTTATGTGAAGACATAAGACAAGTACACCAGACTGAAGGTAACAGAGACATGGACAGCATAGACATAATGAGTTATAAGTATATTCCAAGCAAACCTCACACTATACAATTACGTTTCTAATCTATATATACATATAAATAAATATATATCTATAAATACATCTTACTGATTGATATTTTAGCTGTTTCCCATAGGGATTTTAAAAAGTTTTTTTTTTTAAAAGAGTTATAAACCATGAACCAAACCAACGTGATGAATCGCAGCATTACAAACTTTTATCTGAAGCAAAAAGTATTGAAAATCATCCACAAAAAACAACAATGGCACAAAACGGAGTACTTGACAGCTTTAATAAGAGAAAAATGGAGAAATATTTATGCTTCTGGCAGACGTTTTTATCCAAAGCAACTTGCATTGAATTCAAATCAATTCTTGCTTCCCCTGGGAATTTTAATCCTTGGCATTGCTAGCACCACGTTCTAACGTTTGAACTACAGGAAGATGTTGGTTATGAAGAAACAGTTTTTCAATTTATTTACAAAATGTACATATATACACAAATATTTAAGTAGTTTGAAATCATAGGCAGACTGACTCTATTATGTAGGCAATATTAGCACGTTGCGATTCTCTGATTGGTTGAGATTTCTTTGCAGAATCATGGGTAATGTAGTTTTTCACCAGTACTTCCACCGTTGAACATGATTATTTAAAAAAATAAGTAGAAATAATGCTGATGGCTTCAACAAAACCATATAAAAACTTAGATTAACAACCTCATCTGCCTTTAATAATTTACAAGTTATTGTTAAAAAAATCTACATTTTCTGACATTCTGACCTGACTTTTGCACTTTACATAAACAACTTGTGAGTTGTGGCCACTTCACTTCACTTGAACTGGCACAGAGCCAACGCTTCCTGCTCGATATCTTTACATCCTTATGTTCTTAACATTTGGATTCAGTAAAACATGTAGATTTCTAAAGCAATAAAATAGAAAACTTTCCCAGCACATGGAATCTGACAAACTGTGATAAAAACCGAACTTGTCCGCTACGTTCTTGTGCTATCTACATTTCTACATCACCACCAGTATGATGATGTGCAAAAGAATTCTATACGTTTTCACCCTTTGCTTCAAAGGTTCAAGTAACATAATCTGTACTTTACACTCTGTCACCTGAAGCTTTACCAGTGCCACGTACACAACATGCCACTGGATTAAAGATAAGCACACCATTGTGATTCAACAAAGATTGTTAATGGCATAAATAGACACCATATCTGACCTATTTATATCCTCCGTTTATCAGTGAAGAAAATGTCTTAAGACTTCAAAATTTTATGTGAAGACATAAGACAAGTACACCAGACTGAAGGTAACAGAGACATGGACAGCATAGACATAATGAGTTATAAGTATATTCCAAGCAAACCTCACACTATACAATTACGTTTCTAATCTATATATACATATAAATAAATATATATCTATAAATACATCTTACTGATTGATACCATATGTAAAATTCTCTTTAAATACTGTTCAAGTGTACCAATGATAAGGATGGTTTATGGGATGCATGATGATTTATAGAAATCCATTTTCTTTTAGGCTGCAGGTTCCTTTGCTTCTGTCTCTTGCACTTTTTATCCCTGCATTCATCACTTCCTTTCCTCATTCCTCATGTCTTTGGTGTGTGGCCCAGAAATCACACTTTCAGAGTGTCGTTTGTTTCACCTCTTGCCATATAAATGAGAGAATCTGTTTGGCCAATGGAAGTGTGGATGTTTGGTGAAGTTCAGGCATGTTCTGAGGAGGTGGTGCTCACACCTCCACGTCCGGATCTGAACCCAACCCTTGCTTCTGCAAAGCATCTTCCCTCTTCATCTTTGGCTTCTCAGTTCGGGTGTGCCACACCAGCACCTGAGCAAGAGGAAAATCATTTCAATAGTAAATAAAGGAATAGATGACCCAAAAAAGGTCATCGTTTACTCACCCTCATGTCATTGCAAAAAAAGTTAGGTAAAATTATGAATTTAACAATTGGCTCCCTTTCAGTTCATGAAGTGGAATTTAAAATGAATTGTCCACACAGGAATTTGAAATGGAATTTACTGAATAACAATTCAGAGAAATAGGTCATGGCATTCAGAAATCGAATTGGAATTTAAAAAGCATTGTTAATTTGTTTATGTTAATGCACACAACACTGCTTCCAGCAAAAGTGGATTTCCTCCTATCTGCCGTAGCTCTCAAATGTCACATGACTGATCATGATGTGATAAGCAGTTAACTAAAACTGTAAAAAAAAAAAAAAAAAAACATTTTTGTTTATTGCAATAAAAAAAAAAAACTCAATATTAAATGAAAAATTTTCACTAAGTGAAAATCTGAAATGTTGCCATGTCAACCAACTGAAATAAGTTTAAAGGGGTCATATGATGCGATTTCAATTTTTCCTTTCTCTTTGAAGTGTTACAAGCTCTTGGTGCATAAAGAAGATCTGTAAAGTTGCAAAGACTAAAGTCTCAAATCCAAAGAGGTATTCTTTATAAAAGTTAAGAGTCAGCCACGCCTACCTAAAACGGCTCGTTCTAACACACCCCACATGTCTACGTCACGATGTGAGAAGATTTGCATAACGCCGCCCAAATGTGCACGCAAAGAAAGAAAGCGTGGTTTCAGGAACAGCAGTAGTCTTTTTAGCAGCATCATATGACCCCTTTAAATTGAAATTACTAACTGAATTAAAACTAAAATGGAAATAATAAACTAAGACTGAAATAAAAATAAATGTAAACTTTTTATAAATATTTTTTTTTAAATGGCAAACTGAACTTAAAATTAAAATATATAATTCTAAATTAACACTGAATATACACAACATGAACATACAAAAAAAAAACATTCTCTGACATTCTTTTGCTTATATAACAGAAAATAATATGTGGTCAAAATAATATAACGACAATTTTTATATAATGACATTTATGGAGAATTGTTCAATCTCAATCTCTGTTGAACAAAAGTATTTCTTGTTCCTGCATGACAACACAAACAAATTTATTTTTATAAGGCTTAATAAACTGAAACCTCACAAAAAATATGACGTTCAAGGTCATGTTGAATTATCTTAATATGCAGAAAAGCTGGTTAATCACCAAACACTAGGAACAGAACAAAGGAGCTACCTTAGTGCACAGGTCTGCTTTGGGTTCAAAGTCGTCCATAGTAACCAGGTGCTGAAGGAAGCTACTTTCCAGGAAGCCCATCTGAGCATCACCGTCAAATCGTGCTTGGGGATTGGTCAGTATCAACCTCAGGGACACTGCAAAACCAGCCATGTCGATGGGGAACGGGCGGTTGGGATGCCAACCAGTGTGGAAACGCACAACCTTCCCATCCTCCACCACGGGCCGCTCAAACTTCATCCCGCCCACCAGACCCACAGGCCACACAGAGACACGGTATGTGTACCGCATCTGAGGGTGACGGGAAGGAAAATGTGAATGGACAAAAAGTGCCAGATAATGACACAGAAACATATCAGGAGACCTTCTGTTCATATGTCCATAGACAAAGACTATGTACAGACTAAAACCAGTTTTGAGAAGGGTTAGTTTGATTACATCTCCAAAAGAGAACATCTGACACATCTGTTACACCTCAGTACACCTGAAGCACAGCTCCACCTGGAGGTTTAACCAGTAAACCCCCATGGAATGACTCGAAATGATCTCATGTTCAGTTTTCACTGCAGTTCTCCAAAACAATATGTGACAGTTTGCTACAAACTTTTACATCTGTGGAAGTTTAGCATTTAAATCTAGCAATAAACATTTTATTAGTACCATTTTCTACATATCAGAAAAACAGAATTAGAAAAAAAAAGCACATTGAGGTATAGAAATTCTGTAGTGATAAAACAATTTTAGTTCATTATTAAGTTAATTTAATTTTAAAAAATGTACATTGTAAAGGAAATCATTTGTAGAAACAGTTTTTACAGATACAAACAGATTTTCTCACAAAACGAATTTTAGACATTAAAGCAAAACAGTTAAGCCTTTTGAGCAAGAAAATTATGAGAAACATGAATGCATTCAACGGTATCCAAACATTTGACTCATACACAAGCATTCAAAAGTTTGGGTTCAGTAAGATTTAAAAAAAAAAAGAAATTAATACTTTTATTCAGCAAGGATGCATCAGATAAATAAAAAGTGACAGTAAAGATCTTTATGTTACAAAAGTTTAATATTTCAAATAAAGGCTGTTCTTTTGAACTTTATATACAGCAAAGAATCCAGAAAAATGGTTTACACAAAAATACCTGACAGCACAACTGTTTTCAAAATTGATAATAATAAGAAATCAGTATATTAGAATGATTCCTGAAGGATCATGTGACACTTGAATAATGGGTACTGAAAACATCAAAGGAATAAATAACATTTTAAAACATATTCACAATTTCACAACCAATAAAACAATATTTCACAATATTACTGTATTTTTGATCAAATAAATGCAGCCTTGTTGAGCAAGAGACCTTTTTTTCAGAAACATTACAAAAACAAAAAAAAAATCTTACCAACCCCAAACTTTTGAACGGTAGAGTATATTTAATCACTAAAAACACCTTACCTCTTCAAAAAGCTGCAGGCTATATGTATTGTCATCATCAGCAAAGTACACCACAGCCTCCTCGAGGGCAGCCGCTTCCTTTCCCTCAGCAGCAGCGCCCATCTCCCTGAGCCAGCGCAGACCCTCGTTCCTCTGCTCAGCACCCCGGGGCTTCAGCCAGCTGGGATCACCCTCCTGCAGCTTCCTATCTTTGGGGGTCAGCTTGTGTAGATGGGCGTAGGTCAAGCCAGATGCAGCCAGGAAATCTGTGACGAGCGGAGTTGGCTGAGGAGCGTCCTCCACCACGATCCAGTGCAGCTGAGGAACATGGAGGAAGGTGTGAGACAAACGAGTGAGCTCAGCCTTCTGCACCAGTCTGTAGAGAGGAAGAAGAGGGAGAAAGAGCGAGATTAAATTTCATACAGTTTGGGGTGACTATTTTTTATTCTTATCTCCATAATGAGGCTGAATGTTTGCATGTTTTGGGGATATTTTAATGTCTAAGGGTCCATTCACACAGAACACTTTTTTTTTGCACAAAAAAGCAATGAGATGCAGGGCAGTGGAACAGAAAAGCACAAGGCTTAGAGATGCATTTAAAAAAAATTTTTTTTTTAAGTTTAACTTCTTTTTACTTGAGCTCCACCTTCTATAGAACAGCATGTCATGTGCAAGACACTGCAAAAGACACAAGACTCAAAGTCTGTCTAATACATGGTTGTATAAAAAAACTATGGAAAAGCTGTGGAGCCCAGCACATGACATGCAGACAAAACATATTTATATAAACACATGTAATGAAAAATTTGTTCCCACATTGTAATTAAATTGTGGCCACGCACCTCTCAAACATGTTTGTTTAGCACATGCTTACAACAATGCAGAAGCAGCACAGTGAAATGCAAAAATGTATTCTGTGTGAACGGCCACCATTCAAAATGTATCTATAATCAGTATTTGCATACAGCATAACGATTGCTCTTTGTTTTGTTACATTTATAAACACACACCTGCACACTAAAGAGACATGAGCAGATAGATCATATTACTGAGAAAATCTGACACATTTCCATAATTGACTTCTTTTGAACAGAATGTCGCAAAGAATCAGTTCAAAATGATTCAGTGATTCTTTAATGTCATGGCGTAATTACATCATCACATAATTCCTGACATCCCAACGTGCATATGTTTTAAAACATTCCAATAAAGTAGTCTCACGTAGGCACAGATTGCTATTTATTTATTTTAATTATGTTTTATTTATAATGGTATTTGTATTTCCTTTGTCCTAGTTCAGTCTGTTGCAGCCACCACTGAGTTAAAATATTTCAGAATTTAAAGTCATTTGAAAGTAAAGCAAATCATATTTAGGCTTAATTAGGGCCCGAGCACCGATGGTGTGAGGACCCTATTGGAATTGCTCCGTTTCTTATTAGGGCCCAAGCCAGAAAGGCGCAGGGCCCTATTGTTTTTCTAAGGATTATTATTATTATTATTATTTTTATTTTTCTTTCGACTATCCGGGGCTTTTTGGGGGCCTTAACATATTCAAAAACTCTTGAAAATTTGCACACGCGTTGGAACCTGCGGCCATTAGGACGCCGCAGAGGCTGGGACCCGGCCGTGGCACAGGGGCTCTACGCCGCCCCCTGGAACACAGCCGAAAAACTTGATGTATAGCTCACACATTACATCTCCTGCCTAAAGAGGGGTTTGCATGCTAAACTCATCACGGATTGAATATGTCTGAAATAGACGGTTCTTAGATGAATGAGTCAATGAGTTATTAACCGATTCAGTAACTCATTTGTGTGTGGTCAAATCGTTTAGACCTGTTTTGCGAACTAAATAATTGAAAACATTCGACTCATCGCTTGTAGGGCAGATTTATAAAACAAGCCATGTTACAGTACGTGTTAACTGTGTCATGAAATTGCAATATTTAAGGCGTCTCTGGTGCAGCTTTTCAGATCCTAAAAGTACCTAAATTATTAACACTATTCAATTGCTGCCTCGCAAGCATTTATGTTCTCTTCAGCAAAACATTCTGAATGAATGACATTACTGCACTACTGTAATCTTGCAAAAGCTGTCTACATACCTTGCATATGTGGGCGTTATCACATAAATTTTGGGCACATCAGTCTTCTTAGACAGCTCTGTTTTGATGTGTTCCTGCAGCTTCTGCAGCTCTCCTCTCAGCTGAGAGATCTGCTGATCTTTAGACATGGCATGACCTCTGCAGTCACAGCGCTGACCTGCACAGAACAATCAGTGTCGTGCTCAAAAACGAATGATTCAAGGTTGAATGAACAAGGTAATGCTGATAGTGATTCCAGTCTTACCCAACTGCATCAGCGCATAGATGAGTCCTAGTAGTGACACCATGAAGTACAGGACAAACACAGTCTTCAGCCTCAGTCTCATTCTCATGATGACCTGCTGCTGATGCTGAAATCAACACTGATGGAGGACGAGGAAACCGCGGATCATGGACACAACCCATGTGAATGCATCATGACAACAGCTTGGCTTGGAAAAATAAGAGATGATTTTGCATATTCCAAAACACAGCCAGTGCATCCAGTGGCAATTAGATCAGATATCTTGATTTTAATTGGTTCAGTTGCAGTATATATATGAATGTCTGGTTACAACAGAGTTCAACTAACGCATTTGAATATATTACACGCAATGATGTGTATAAATTTAAAGTTGAGGTGAATAAAACCTTTCCGGTCGCTTCATAGTGTATTGCAGATAACGCTATGCGTCTCTGTGCAAACTAGTGAAGCGCACTATGTACAGCCACCCCATTCATCCACTGCGCACTACCAACAACTTCCGCTTTCAGTGTGTAACACAGTCAATGATCTCCCGAAGCATGGAAATAAACCATAGTTCCGCCTTCTAACTTTTGGATCACGAAGACATTTTAACCCTTTAACCGTCACTACAAGAAAAACACTAGTGAAACACCAGATTCTTCAACTTTTTTTTTTTTGCATTCTAACCTGTTATGAAAAAATGATAAAGGTAAAACCTCATCCAACTTGTATATACTAATTATGAAATGCCATTATACAGTTTAAAAGACATCTCTGAATTTGTTGATTTAATTTAATAAGAAAATACTTTATTCCTGTTAGCTTCATATCAGCATTTCTGGCAGAGTATGGGGAAAAAAAGGACTGTTGCTGTTTATCTATGCTACAGGCTAAATTAATTTAAAAAGAAAGAAATTAATACTTTTATTTAGCAAGGATGCATTAAACTGACAAAAAAAAAGAGAGAGTAAAGACTTTTTTATTGTTACAAAATAAACTAATAAAATAAAAAAAAATCAATCAATAAATACATACATACAAACATAAATAAACGCTGTTCGTTTAAACTTAAAATATATTAAAACAAAGCTGTTATTTTGAATTGTTATATTTCACATTATTCCTGTTTAACTGTATTTATAATACAAATGCAGCCTTGGTGAGCATGACACTTTAAAAAAATAATAATAATAAATTCTTACCAACCCCAGACTTCATAATTGTAGTGTATTTCTAAAAAACAAACAAAACAAACAACAACAAAAAAATATGTATTTTAGGTTTTGTAAAATGAGAAATAGTCCAGCTGATATCCCTTAAATCTAACTACTGCTTAAAATAAAAAGCATCCTCGTAATACTGATGTTTCCCTTCTGTCCTCCCTTCAGTGTGTAGTTCAAACGACTCAAACAAAGAAGCCTTTCTTTAAAAGACTGAGGGTGGGCGATTTGACTTTTTTTGTGTGTGCTTTTTTATCTACCAGTTGAAAAGTTGGAAAAGTTAAACTGCTAAGAATGTTTTATGAAAGATTAATTTGAAACGATGTTAAAACTCCACTGAGCTTCAATAAGTCAAACAAGATTCCTTTATTTTTTGCATACAAATCAAACACATAAAGCTGGAATGACCTTTCGTTTCAGTTCAACAAGAGAGCACAAGACAGCAACACATCTCTCAAACCTTTTTAAGTTTTGTATATAATTTTCCCAATGTCTTCGAAGGCAAATAAAATGTACATGGCAAACAGATTATATACAAAGAAGAAAAAATGGAAATATACAGTAATGACATGATAAAAGAACGTTATGATAAAAAAAATGAAAGTATATTTCTATACTAAGGGTCCACCATAACTAACATGCCAACCCCTGTATCAAATCAAACATAATTCCAATCCACCAATTCCCTAATACAGCTGTTATAAAACATTTTGTTACAAGTTGAATGACCTGAGACAGTCTAGGTTCAGTGATTACTAATTATAAACAGTACAGATCGTCATATTCTGTTTCTTTAAGTGATAAGCAAACGACAGCTTTTAGTTAAAATACATTTACCCTGAAAAGTGGTATAGAGTGGAATGGCTGTAACAACCACTGTCACCAACACCTGCATTCGCTCACTATGGTAATAAAACAGCTGATGAGTGACAGACAATTTCTGGAGGAGAAAAAAAAACCGCAGGCTCTTTTTGCATCTGGACAAAATGCAAAGAGAGTTGAGCCTCACCATGCTGATACCTGAGGTGAGAAAGTGGCTCACAGTGGCCTTTACTGCCATTTCTGTTATTCAAACCTTTATGAGACTGAAAACGTCACTTACTATGTGAAATGGTGAATGAGCTTTTTGAGTTTAAAAACCAAGAGCAAGCATAGAGGGGGTTTCATTGTTGATTATGGGCAGGAGAGACTGTTTTAAGGGCTTTCTAAGAGGGGGTCATGGGTGATGGAGCAGGGTAGGGAATGAGGATGAGGAAGCTCTGAAACAACAGAGGAAGGCTCGCTCTTAATGGCAGCAGCCTCCACAGTGGCCGCCCCCATGCGCATGTCCCGAGGCCTCGCCGTACTTTGTTCTCCGGCTCAGAATCTCATAGGAGCAGTCTTCTCCACAGCAACCGGACATACTTGGTGATGTTTCGTCAATCTCAAACCTGAAAGAGGACGGCCATTGGTGAAGTCATATTTTAACACCGAATAAGCATAGCAGACACTTGTTGCTATGGCAACTGCTATCATTCAGTGTTTTGTCGATTATAGAGGCCTGTACATAAATCTGTATTCAGAGGAGGAACAGGAATTTCATACAAGTGTTGAATGTGTCCAGAACGATGGTACTTACTGTAAAGCATCCCTAAAGAACTGGTAAGCACCATGATTGTGTTTAAATACTGTCAGCATGACCTTTTTCATTTGTGTGCTGAGGAAAGACACAAGGACAAAAAAAAAAAAAGAGTGATTCATGAGTTTTGGCAAAAATGCTACAAAGGAATAAATTCTTGGAATGCTGGGTTTGTTGTGGTACCTGTTGGCGATAAGCTGAAGGATTTGGATGAGAAATTTCCCCAGGCCTTTCCGTCTGACTTTACTCTCCAGCTGAACTTCATAACTGAGGAGACATTATTATCAGCCAGATACAAACAGCAATATCTTGAGAGAATCAGTGAAGTCACACATTGCAAAAATAACACACGATGCCTTCCCACATACACAATGCATGCAATGAAGGAAGATAGACAGACATGCACAATATCACAATTCTGGCAGATATCAATAAGCCAATAGTTTTCACATCAAGGACAATAAATGATAAATTCTATACAATACTACCTAAATTGTAAAAACCCTGAAAACATAATTTTTAATCTTAAGGTGTTATAACATAACAATATACATTATGAAAAATGGATATTCATTTTGAAAAGTTATAAAATTGTTTTTATAGACTAAATGTGTGTTCGATGATGAAAAAAAATTTGGCGAGATGAGCATGAAGAATTGAATGTCCAATATAAATTAATTGTAAAAAAATTCTAATATCAGTCGGTAACCAATATGGTACTGAAACATTGTGCATTCCTGACAAATAAATGGATTTTTAATAATTCCCAAAGAGAAATTCATAGCTGTCCTATGTGTTAAGTTATAATTAAAGCAGCTTATAAAATATACCATTTACCAATATAAAACCTCATCTCCACACTCCACATCAAATCGAAAGTGGGAAAATGCTACAGGTGTGGAGCCAGCGTCACGGGCCAGGAGATACCACGCTCTCTCATCCTTCATCTCCTCCCTTTTCTCTCTCTCCTTCCATCCCCACTCACTCTGTTCATATCTGCCAAAACATAAGGTAACAAAAAATGTACTTTGTTATAAACTGCACAAATTGAAAGTGCAGAAAGATTTCAGACAGTTCTCATGGAACTATATTTCTTAAAGAGTAAAATGACCAGCTGTACAAAAGTCCTTTAGCTTTAAAGGGACAGTTGACCCAAAATGAAAATTCTATCATTTATTTGCCAAGAATGGAATGACATGAGGGTAAGCAAATGATGACAATTTTCAGTTTTGGGTGAACTATCCCTTTAATGTTAAGTAACACTAACTGACTTCCATTCAACCCAAAACCTGTATCTGAATGTCCATTGAATACAAAAGATAACATGTATCCATTAAGAAGCTCGGCAGGAAAAATTAAGACGCCACTAAAACACCAAACATTGACAAATAAAGTATAATAAATGTTTAAGGCAGTAACAATATGGGATGTTGGATTACCCCACATGTTGACTTGAACAATACCTACAGCGTCTGCATGTTGGCTCTAGTCAACTCATAGGCCCACTCCACTGTATCTGGACTCAATGCAGTTACCCGTTTACATTCAATCTCCAGGTTTATCCTTGTGACAGATTCAGACATTCACAATATTAGTATTGGATATAAAAAAAAAAAAATGAAATGATCTGCCCACCAGTTTAGAGGCAGCATATGTCATCCATCAAAGGGGAAACGTAAGGATAGCGTACCCATTTCTGTCATACTTTTTGAACACTGGCAAGGCAGACAGAGGATCTTCAAGCTGTAAAAAGCCATGGGACACATTGTGTTAATATTTCTCTACTGCAAGAACATAAACACTGAAATTTTAAGACAAGTGCACATATTTTGAAAAAGTTTCTTTCAGATGTTCTCAATAAAGCATACCTTATTGGCTGCATCCACCTTAGCACACACCGCATCCATAGCTGCCCGTTCTTCGAGTCTTCGCTGCTTTTTCTCCTTTGCTCTGTTTGATTTTCTCTGAATGGTAATCGAAAGACATTGTCAAATACCATTCCCAGATACAGACTGAAGAAAATGGTCTGAAACATTTATACTTTATATTACAACTTTAATTCCTACTCTGGGAAAGAGAGCAGGGTGGTCGGTATAATATGAATATACATACCGTGTATTCTAAAATGAACTGAATCAAGTGAATTGAACCAACGCTGAACTACACTGAGCTGAAAAACGACACTACTGTCTTCTGTAGAGCTGCTTTGAAGATGAAATGGAAGTTATTTCATAACTGATGAATTTTACAACATTGAACCTTATTTTTTTGTTTATTACAGCAAAGCTGCTTTGAACATCTGTAATACATTAAAAAAAACTGATATTGAGATATTGAGAACCTGGGTTATCCTTTTATCCTGAAGTTTTAGGATTTTGAAAAACTAGAGTGTTATGACAAAAAATGAAGAGGAAATGGGTCATTAATCAAACAAACACAAAATGATCTGGAACATCTCAAATCAACTTCAAATCAGAAATTTAACTTGTCACTAATTAGTATGCTGACAATATAATTAGTTTTTTTGTTTAAATTAAAAGAATGTAAAATAAAAGCATTTTCACTAGTATGGACCACATTGTAAAAAGCAGTAATTGAATCAAATCAAATCAAATGAGACATAGCACACAAAATTGTGGAATTAAACACTTATTTTACAATATTATTTAACAGTGAATATTTAAATAT